TCCAGCGTCCCTTGTTTCCTTTTCTCGTGCTCCTTCCTCTTTGGTATGCGCCTGCTGCCGCAAAGCTTCCCTTGATACAGCCATCGCACGCAGGACGGCCATTATTCGTGGCTTGACGCTTCAATACGTCTCGAGGGCACGGCATGCAAGGTAGCTTCGTGGCTTGATGCCTTCTCGCAGAGGTTGTCGTCGTGTCGAAAAAACATCGTCCCGTCCCAGGTTTCCCTCACAAGTCCTGGCACGCCATCGTTTTCACTGCCAGAACCGTCTCTTTGAACGACAAAGCCTTATTGGCCTGTCGTTCAGGCGAGAGCTGCGTTTTGACAAGGATCTGCTATGCATCCATCTACCGTGTTGTGAGGATTGCAGCACGGTGGGATCAGAAAGTTCAATAAGGTATCCAGCGGGAGTCCTGTGTTAAAAGGAGGCGCCCCCCTGTAACCGTTGCGCAAGTCTACACCTCTAGTTGTTTACTGGAGGAGGTCTCCTACGAGAGCCCCAGTTCGAAAAGGAGCCGCCCTCCATCCGTCCAGCTGCTCCATCTGTTCTAGCCTCTGGCCGTCAATTTTGTGAAGAAGGGGAATCCAAACCGTGAGTAGCTTTTCGGTTAACCGTGAGTGGCTTTTCGCTTAGCCGTGAGTGATTGAGTGCACGCTGTGAGTGCACGCTGTGAGTGCACACTGCGCTGAGTGTACGCTGTGAGTGCACGCTGTGAGTGCACGCTGTGTTGAGTGTACGCTGTGAGCCCACGCTGTGAGCCCACGCTGTGAGCCCACGCTGTGAGCCCACGCTGTGAGTGCACGCTGTGAGCGTACGCTGTGAGTGCACGCTGTGTTGAGTGCACGCCGTGAGCTTACGGTGTGGGCCCACGCTGTGAGCCCACGCTGTGTGCCTTCGCGGTGAGCCTACGCTGTGAGCCCACGCTGTGAGCACACGCCGTGAGCCCACGCTGTGAGCCCACGCTGTGAGCCTACGCAACACACCACACGCAACACATCGCACACGCAACACAACACACGCGCAACACACCACACGCAACACACCGCACGCAACACACCACACGCAACACTCCCACACCACACGGAACACACCACACGCAACGCACCACACTCAACATTCCACACGCAACAATACGCAACACACCAGACGCCACACACACGACACGCAACATACCGCGCGCAACACACCACACGCAACACACCACACGCAACACACCACACGCCACACACGACACGCAACACACCACACGCAACACACCACACGCAACACACCACACACCACACACATACACACTTCACGCAACACACCACACGCAACGCACCACATGCCACACACCACACGCAACACACCACACGCACACACGACACGTAACATACCGCACGCAACACTCCACACGCAATACACCACACGCAACATACCACCCGCAATACACCACACGCAACACACCACACACAACACGCCACACGCCCCACACCACACACCACACACCATACCACACACCTCCCACACCACACACACACACGCACACCACCAACCACCACCCACCACAGACCACCCACCACGCACCACACAGCACCCACCACGCATCACACACCACACACCACATACCATACACCACACACCGCCCACCGCACACCGCACACCGCACGCCGCACACCGCACAACACCCACCACGCACACACGCACACACACACACACACACCCCACCACCCCACCACCACAAACACCACCACCGCCAACGATACCGCCACCACCAACGCCACCACCACCACCACAATCACCGCCACGACCACTCCCACCACCACCAGCACACACAAACGCACGCACACCACAGAGGAAATCACGCGGACCGCGCGGAGAAATCCAGCGCGTAAGCAATTCGAGATTCCGTCGGGCCGGCAGCGTGCACTCACAGCGTTTGCTCACGGTCTTTCTCACCGGGTGGCGCGCAGCGTGCGCTCACAGCGTGCACTCACAGCGTGCACTCACAGCGTGCACTCACAGCGTGCACTCACAGCGTGCACTCACAGCGTGATTGGCTAACGCTGCTGTGCGTGCCCGCCGTGGTGAGCCCACGCTGTGAGCCCACGCTGTGAGCCCACGCTCTGAGTCCACGCTGTGAGCCCACACTGCGAGTCCACGCTGTGAGCTCACGCTATGAGCCCACGCTGTGAGCCCACGCTGTGAGCCCACGCTGTGAGCCCACGCTGTGAGTGCACGCTGTGAGCGCACGCTGCGAACGCAGGCTGTGCGAGCGCGCTCATCGGCTCAGCGAGCCCTCGACGCCGCGTGCACTCACAGCGTGCACTCGCAGCGTGCGCTCACAGCGTGCGCTCACCGCAGCGTGCACTCACAGCGTGCACTCACAGCGTGCACTCACAACGTGCACTCACCACAGCGTGCACTCACAGCGTGCGTTCACAGCGTGTTCTCACCACTGCGTGGGCTCACAGCGTGCACTCACAGCGTGCACTCACCACAGCGTGCACTCACAGCGTGCACTCATAGCGTGCACTCAATCACTCACGGTCAAGCGCACAGCTCGTCACGGTTAGGATCTACTCTTTGTTGTGAAAGTCTCGGGCGAGAGACCCATTGGAAGGGAGCCGCCCCCGATCCGTGCAAATGTTGCTCAATATTGTTCTTGGTGCTATTATGTTCGGAGGAGCTTCCCAGGCGGTAGCCCCACATGTATAACGAACCCGCCTCCACCTGTGCAAGTAGTGCACCATGCCTTACGTGCTTCTCAGATGGTTTGATGACACATCCGACGATCTTCACCTCTTGAAGGCTCAGCAGCATCCGCACGTGTAGCTCTTTACATCGAATGTGCGCGGCGTGTGGGCGAGAGGCCCATTCTGAAAAAGGCCATGTCTCCACCGTGTGACTGTTACAAGCTTTTCAGACCAATGTGCGCGGCGTTCAGGCGGTAACCCCATATGGAAACTGAGACGGCCTCCCTCTGCGTAATTGCTTGAGCTTCGGGATCGTAAGTCTGTCAGGAAGCCTTGAAGCGGAACAGCCGGCCTTGCCTACGGACGCGTATGGTGGTTTGACTGAGTGGAGCTATCTACGAGACAATGGAATGCAGGGGAGGAGACGGGGGGTGACTCTCTTGCCTTTCTTGGGCATCCTGGGGGCCCTTGCCGACACGGCCGTTTTCGCCCCGAGCTCCTGGTCAGGACGCCGCGCTCCTGGGCAGCTTCACGGCTCGGTCTTGAGAGGGGGGTGGAGGAGAGGGTAGGAGAGGCATGAATTGGACTGGATTGATCGACGGGGGTTGCGTAGAGAAGGGTGGAGGGTGGGAGGGAATGGGAGGGCGGGAGCGAGGGAGGACATGGAGGGAGGACATGGAGGGAGGACGCAGAGACAGGAAGGGAAGAGTGGAGGCGTGGTGTCGAAGGGGGGAGGGTAGGGATGGAGAGAAGTAGGGCGGAACGAGGGAGGACAAAGGGGGGGAGAAAGTTGGGAGGGAGGTTGGGAGGAGGGAGGGACGGAGGGAGGGACGCGGGGAGGGAGGGTCGAATGGAGGGAGGGTGAGAAGTGCGGAGGAGCGGTGTCAGAGTGATGAAGGGTGCCAGACAAGCGAGAGATGGAGGGACGGTGCCACCACAAAAAGTGTCCACACCCATGGCAGTAAGGTGATGCAACATGACACACCCGTCAACTTTGAACTTGGGGGAAGGGGGGGTATGCATTCTGGTCCGACGTGCTTTGATAACTCAAGGTCTTGGCGAGAAACGTGTGGACACTTTTAGTCCACCCACCGGAGGGACGGGGAGGGATGGGATCGCGGGGAGGACTGGTGCGGAGGAGGCTGTTTCGGCCCCAGCTCTGGCTTGCACATAGATGCGCGGCCCAGGGAATCGATTATTTTGTTGCTACTCTTGTAGATACCTGTAATTACAGGCATCTTGCTGTTTTAGCATGAATGGGGAGGTGGAGAAGAACGATGACAGGCTGAGGATGATAATAATGATGTGATTGATAATAGTACTGTTGATCATGGTGGTGGTGGTGATGATGATTATGATGATTATGATGATGATGAAGATGAGGATGATGTTGAGGATGATGATGATGAGGAGGATGATGAGGATGATGGTGATGTTGATGATGACGACGATGATGATGGTTGTGGTGGTGGTGATGATGACGATGACGATGATGACATTGGAATTGGTGATGCGGCTGGTGAGGATGAGTACAGTACGATGCTCAGAATGAGTTTAGTGATGATGATGCTGATGATGCTGATGATGCTGAACATTGTGGTGTTGGTGATGATGATGCTGCTGATGCTGACGATGGTAATACTATGCTGACGATGGCCGTGATAACGACGTCGATGACGATGACGATGACGACGATGACGACGATGACGATGACGATGATGATGATGATGATGATGATGATGATGATGATGATGATGATGCTGATGATGATGATGATGATGATGATGATGATGATGATGATGATGACGATGCTGATGCTGACGATGGTGATGATGATAACGACGACGATGATTCTTCTTATGATGATGGTAATGATGACGATGCTGATGTTGCTGATGATGCTGCTGATGGTGCTGCTGATGAGGATTATGATGATACTGATGATGCTGGTGCTGGTGATGATGATGATGATGCTGATGGTGCTGATGGTTGTGGTGATCGTGGTGGTCGTGTTGTTGATGATGGTGGTGGTGGTGGTAATGGGGATGCTGCTGCTGATGTGGAGAAGGAGAAGGAGAAGGAGAAGGAGAAGGAGAAGGAGGAGGAGGAGCAAGAGGAGCAAGAGGAACAAGAGGAGCAGGAGGAGGAGAAGGTGGAGGAGGAGGAGAGGGTGGATTATATCGGCGACGGCGACGACGACGATGATGATGAGAGTGATGACCATGATGATGACGACAACGATGCGCCGCGCAGCGGCGACGCGCCGCTGCGCCGCCGCGCGGCGCCGCCGCCTCGGCTTCTGCCGACCCCGGCCGCGTGGCTCCGAGCTTTCCCGCGCGCCCGCGCGGTAGGCCCGCGCGGCCGCTGGGTAGGCCCCGCGCGCCGAGGGGTGTGTGAGCCCTCGGCCGAGGTCCGCCGCCGCGGGGCCGCCGCCGCGGGGCCGCCGCCGCCGCCGCCGCCGCCGCCGCCGCCGCCGCCGCCGCCGTCGTCGTCGTCGTCGTCGTCGTCGTCGTCGTCGTCGTCGTCGTCGTCGTCGTCGTCGTCGTCTTCGTCGTCGTCGTCGTCCTCGTCGCCGTCGTCGTCTACGCATTCGTCTTTCGTCAACGTCGGCGTCTGCGTCCTCCTCTGCGCCTCCTCGCCTGTTCCTACGTCTGCTCTTTTCACGCCCTTCTCCTCCCTTTCCTCCGTGAGCATATCTGTTCTGTCCATGCCACCGTCCGCACAACCACCACCACCACATCCCCTCCCTCTCCATCCTTCCACCCCTCCCCCCCCCCCCCCTCGGGCGGCACAGTGGCAGTGCCGAGGCCTTACCAGGAGACATCGCTGGAGTCCTGCTGCCTGCTCATCCAGGCCATCGGCAGCAGCGATCCTCCTCCCACCAGACACCACTTCACGGACTTCGAGCTCACGAAGCGGTGTCGCATCGACGCGATTTTCACGTGCTCCCCCCCGCAACGCTCGGTGGCGAGCTGGGGGGGAAGTGAGAAGGAGGAGGCCTTCTCAGAAGGCTCAGAAGTCCCTCGGCCTTCAGAGAAAAGTTTTCCAAGCCTCTCCCGAAGACGCAGAAACCTCTCAGACGACCGGAGGGCTTCTGAGAAGCCCCGCCGCCTTCTCAGAATGCCTTCTCCTTCTTACTTCCCCCTTTGCTCGCCGCCGAAACGCGCGTTATCGCCATGACAAGAAAAGCTCTTCTGTTTGCACAGCCCCGACTCTCACCCAGACCCTCCGGGCCGCTCCCCTTCGCCCCGTCCCGTCCCACGCCCTCCTCCCCTGCACTCCCGCCCTTGTGTGCACCCTTCCTCCCCCGCCGGCGCCGACCAGACGCCCATCGCCGGTGGCAAGGGCCGACCTCAGCGGACGAACGGTGTGCAGGGAGGGAAGCTGGGACCAGTGGCCGGGACCATCCCTGGCACTCTTTCCAGCCCTGGGCGGCTTCCCTGTGGTTTCTTCAGCCCGGGCGACAGCAACCCAGCTGTTCTGGTTTCGATTGGGCCCCTGCCAGTTTTTCCAGCCACTTCCACTTCCACGGAACTTTCAATTTCACTTTCTCCACCCCCCTTGTCATTTCAGCCTCCCAGCTGCCCTGGGACAGGCGTCCCCGAAGGCGGAAAATTGAGATACGCCACTTCGCCCGCTAACGATCGGGCCCCCCCACTCCCATCGGCGATCGGCTGCGATGGGCTCATCTCTGCCCGTGTCTCCCCATCCCAACCCAGAACTCCGACGTCGTGCTTTGTTTCGCAAAATGGACCCCCGAAGAAGGGCTGGACCCTTCCCCCCAGGGACCGGTTTTTCATCCCGCGTCGTTTTCTAGCTGGCGGTCGCAGGGCCCGGCGAGGGCCTTGGAGACCGCACGCCGCCGAAAGCCTTGGGTTTTTTTTTGCCTGCGACGCGAGGAGGTGGGCGCCCTCCCCCCACGGTGTGTTCGCGTCGCGTCGACGCGGCAGCGACCCTGCCGCTGGCGTTCAAGGCCGACCGCCGCCAGTGGCCCAGGATCGGCCACTATGGAGCTACCCACGCGGCGTCAGAAGCCAACGCCCGGGGTCGTCACGAAACGAGCTTGCCGTAGTCTAGGCCGCCCAAACGGGGTCAGAGTGGCTAGGGTCGGAGGAGCGCGCCGCATCGCCGATACATCGGCGATGCGGCACGATGTGGAGCCCGAGTTTCTCCACGCCGACTTCGCCGATGCATCGCCGACGTCGACGACGCATCGCCGATGTGTCTGCGATGCGTTGGCGATGCGGCGCGGTCCTCCGACCCCATCTTGCAGCCAAGACGCCGAAGTGAGGACCGCTTTGGGCTCAGGAAGGGCTCGGGTCTTCTGGCCGCTCCTTCGATCTGCGTCGTGGGATCTGTTTGTGGCCTTGATGGTGGCACGACGGTGGAAGGAAAGATTTCGTGTGCGCTCCCCCTCTCCCCCAAAATTCAAAGTTGGCGCGCGCGGGGAAGGCTGCGGTCGAAGTGCAGCTCATTCAGCCCACCGCCAACACTGATCATGGGGGGGGGCATTGCATTGACAGATGAATGTGCCATGAGTGGTCGCTGCCTTCTGCCGAGGCCTGGATGACTGCACTCGGACCCCACTTGGGAGGCCTCTACGTAGGCCCGACGCCAGCCAGGCGCCGCCCGCGCGGCGCTGGCGCCCCAGGGCCCGCGGCGGGCCGCACCCATGAGGGAGGCGGCGCCGGGAGCCGGCGCGGCGCCCTGCGAGGGCGGGCGAGGAGGGCGGGGCGGCTCGCGGGGCTCCGCGTCATGGCGCCGACATCGCAGAGCGGATTTCGTGCGGGAAACACCTGGGATGGGCCCAGGTTGTCCTGGAGAGTTTCGTTCTGGATTTCGAAGTGCCTTTCGTGTGGATTTCTGTTCGGCCAGGGAAGGAGACTACGAAAAACCCACAGGAAGTTCACTTCGTTTTTCGCTCGCCGTTTCGGGGTTTTTCATTGACACAAATCCACGCGAAAATCCGCTGCAGCACGTCTGCAAGGTCGGTGCAGTGATTCTCCAGGCTCACGCCACATCCGCCGACCCCTTGATTCGTACCGGCGGCTATCGCCGCGTTTCCGGCTGTAACGGGCCAATTTTTGCGCCGAGGGGCCCTCCTGGGACGCATCTTGGAGGCCTCTTGGGGCCTCTCGGGGCCGTCTTGGGCCGTCTGGAGGCGATCGTCGGTGTCTTTGATCGCTCTTCGACCGTCTGTGACCATATTGAGCTCTCTTGGAGGCCACTTGAAGCGCTCCTGGAGCGCTCTTGGGGCCGTCTTCGGGGCCCTCTTGGGCAATCTTGGGCGCCTCTTGGGCTGTCTTGGGGCTCTCTTGGGCTGCCTTGGAGCTTCCCTGGAGGCTGCTTGGACCGTCTTGGGGCGGTATTTAGGGCCTCTTGGGCCGTCTGGGAGCGTCGGAAAGCCCAAAAAGCGAATTCGTGAAAAATGTACGTTTTACGAAGGGAATGGGCCAACTTTTGCGTCTAGGGACCCTCGTGGGACGCATCTTGGAGGCCTCTTGGGGCCTCTTGGGGACCTCTTGGGCCGTCTTGGAGGCCTCTTAGCCCGTCTTTGAGCCATCTTGGGCGTCTTGGAGCGCTCGTTTGGCGTCTCGGGGCTCCCGTGGGCCGTCTTGAAGGCCTCTTGGGGCCATCTTGGCCCGTCTTGAGGCTTCCTGGGGCCCGGAAAAGCCCCGGCGGCGCTCGTCCCGGGCCCCGGCGGCGCTCGTCCCGGGCCCGGGGGGGGGGGGTCAAATCGCCGGTTTGGGGTCCCGGGGGGGGGACTATAGGGGGGGGAACTATCTCACACGCCTAGAGACCCACAAGGGGTCGGCGGACTTGGAGCTGTCTCGGGGTCTGAGATGTGGCCCAGCACTGGTTCTGGCCAGCAGGACGGGCGGGCAGGTTTGATATTCTGGGTTCGGAGGGTTTTTGGCATTTTTCGGCCTCTGGGGGCCTACGGGGTCCCGGGACCATGAGAAACGGACCCGGGGTGAAAAGGTGCACCAGATTGGTCCAGGTGCCGATCAGTTGGGTCTCGCCCTCCCCTTGGGGCCCCAGCCAGTTCAGGCCCCTCGGCCACCTCCAACACGAGACGCTGCGCTGCGCTGCCCTCGGGCTCCTGAGAGTCTTTCGGGCGTCGCCACGGCCCCTCGAGGGCCCTTCGGAAGGCCCTTTGGAGAGGAGGGCCTTCACGATGCCCTCCGAGTCTTCAGAGACTGCTTCGGGAACCTCGCGGAGACACCGAGAGCTCCAGAGAACCAGGCCCCGCCGAGGCGTTGAACAACACGCAACGGAAGGAATCTTGTCACGTTAGGCCTCCGCTGGGGTCCCTTCGGGCAGTTTAGCTCTGCGACCGTTTGTGAGCCCTAGTACCCCTGCGCGTCCAACCGACGCTGGGTTATCGGACACCCCCGCTGGGGTTCACTTCGCTGCAGATATCCTCAAGTTCAGAAGCAGTTTTTTGCAGAAATCTGGTCTGCAGGGATAGGGTTCACATGCGGTTGCCTCCTAGTACGTCCTTGTCGCTGGCACCCAGGTGGTCTGTCGCCCCCCGCCTGGGTGCTGAGAGACGCCCTCTGGACGGGCGCAACCCCTGCAGATGAGGCCGCCAACCATCGACGGATTGTCAACCGCTAGGCTGCGGTTGCCGTTGCTGCCCCCCCTCCCGCGCGCTCCGCGCCTCGCCTCTCTTCCCTCCTTTTCCCTCCTCGCCCAGGGGCGCGAAGTTCACTGCGCCGCGCGACCCTCCCGAGGCCCGTGTCAGGGGCATGTCGCACGCAGGCTCGCAGACTCGTGGAGGCGTGAAGGATTCTTTCGCTGCCGTAACCACCTTCTCGTGGAGAAGGTCGCGCGGGCCTCCGAGAGGTGGTGCTCGCCTTGGGGGTGCATGCGATACGCCGCCAGTCGATCAGCTCTGTTTAGCCCATCCAGCGCAATGGTAACACCACCGCCGATCAGCGGCGGTCCGGGGCCCTGCTGCAGTGCTCCCCGCGGCACCTCGGGGCCCTAGAAGGCTCTCCACAAACCGCGGAGGGGGCCGGCCACCTCGGTGGCCCACGTGGTGAACTCCAGGTCACGACGTCGGGGGTCCAGGGTTCGCTCGCCCGCGTCTGGGTGGTGGAGAGGGGGGGACTTCGCGGCGCGGCGCCGTGCGGGTTGCCTGGCCCTGGAGACCCACTGGGAACTGACACAGAGGCACTCTGAGGGTTCCGAGGAGCCCAGACGCAACAAAAAAGGCTAGCGTGTGGAGGCTCTCCACAGTTCTCCCCGCGAGCTGCCATGGAACCTCTGGAAGCCCCTCGCGCGCCCTCTCGGGCCTGGCGCGCCCTCTCCTCACGAGGGGGGCGACGAGCTGGTCGTGGAGCGGGGCCCTGGGGAATGCGGGATGGGTCGCCACGCGCTTCCAAAGTCTTGCGGAGGCTTCCAGAGGGCTCCTGTCGATAACATCCCAGCGGCCGCCCTGGGGGCTCCGGTCCAGGAGCTCCGCCGTTGGATGAGGATGGGGAGGGAGGGGGAGGAGGGAGGGAGGAGGGAGGAGGATGAGGAAGAGGGAGGAGGAGGAGAGAAGGAGGAAGGAGGAAGAGAAGGAGGAGGAGGAAGAGGAGGAGGAGTTGGAGGGGAGGAGGAGGAGGAGGAGGAGGAGGAGGAAGGAGCAGGAGGAGAAGAAGGGAGGAGGGGAGGAGGAGAGAAGAAGGGAGGAGGGAGGAGGAGGGAGGAGGAGGAGGAGGAGGGAGGGGGGGAGGAGGAGGAGGAGGAGGAGGAGCAGGGAGGAGGAGGCGGAGGAGGAGGGGAGGAGGAAGGCGGAGGAGGCGGAGGAGGAGAGAGGAGGGAGGAGCAGGAGGAAAAGGCGGAGGGAGGCGGATGATGATGATGATGATGATGATGATGATGATGATGATGAATGATGATGATGATGATGATGATGATGATGATGATGATGGTGATGGTGATGGTGATGATGATGATGATGCTGCTGCTTGCTGCTGACTGCTGATGATGATGATGAGAGGAGGAGGAGGAGGAGGAGGAGGATGTGATGATGATGATGATGGTGGTGGTGGTGGTGGTGGTGGTGATGATGATGATGATGATGAGGATGATCAGGATGATGATGATGATGCTGCTGATGATGACGATGACGATGCCGATGACAATGATGATGATGTTGATGATGATTATGATGATGATGTTGATGCTGATGATGATGATGAGGAGGAGGAGGAGGAGGTTGAGGAGGAGGTGGAGGCGGATAATGATGATGATTGTGCTGATTCTGATGCTGATGAGGATGAGGATGATGAGGAGGATGATGATGAGGATTATGATGATGATGATGATGATGATGATGATGATGATGATGATGATGGTGATGGTGATGATGATGATGATGATGATGATGATGATGATGATGATGATTATGATGATGATGATGATGATGATGATGATGATGATGATGCTGATGATACTGACGATGATGCTGATGATGATGATGATGATGATGATGATGATGATGATGATGCTGATGATGATGAGGAGGAGGAGGAGGAGGAGGCGGAGGCGGAGGCGGAGGAAGAGGAGGAGGAGGCGGAGGCGGAGGCGGAGGCGGAGGGGGAGGAGGAGGAGGAGGAGGATGACCAGTGTACAACCAAGAGTCATCAACGATGATGGAATTAACCCTCCCTCCAAACTCCCTCTTCATAGGCCCCCACAACGGTTCATTTCCATTGAGGGAACTGCCTCGTTGGAAGACAATCGTTTGAAGATCCTGAAGTCTGCCAGAACACTGCTCTCGGGATTTCAACACCACGTATCAACCTGACTTCTGCGTCTTGACGATCCGGAATCGTGCCAGAGCGTCTTCGTTGGGACTTCAACACCGCGAATCAACATAGCTGTTGCTCCCGCATAATCCAGAATCGCTCCAAAACACCACTTTTGGGACGTTGATCATGGGAACCCGTGAAACTCTTGCAACTGTTGAAAACGAATGTGCGGCGCTAAGGCGACAGTCGCATTTTGGAAAGGAGCTGCCTTCCATCCGTGAAGCTCGTGCAAGTTTCGAAAACGAATGTGCACAGCGCTAAGGCGAGAGCCACATTTTGAAAAGGAACCGCCCTCAAGCAGTGAAACTCTTGCAACAATGACGAATGTGCGCGGCGCTAAGGCGAGAGCCACATTTTGAAAAGGAACCGCCCTCAACCCGTGAAACTTTTGCAAAGTTTGAAGACGAATGTGCGCGGCGCTAAGGCGAGAGCCACATGTTGAAAAGGAACCGCCCTCAAACAGTGAAACTCTTGCAAAAAAGACGAATGTGCGCGGCGCTAAGGCGAGAGCCACATTTTGAAAAGGAACCGCCCTCAATCCGTGAAACTCTTGCAAGTTTTGAAAACGAGTGTGCGCAGTGCTAAGGCGAGAGCCGCACTTTGAAAACGACCCGCCCTCAATCCGTGAAGCTCCTGCACATGTTTGAAGCGAATGTGCGTGGCGCTAAGGCGAGAGCCACAGTTTGAAAACGACCCGCCCTACATCTTTGAAGCTGCTGTCACTTTTTAAGCTTCAGAGTCGTAGATTGTGAGGATGTCTCAGGCGAAACGCCCGGCCCGCCCTAGAAACTGGCATCGGGGTGCGACAGGGAGGAGTTATCAATAAGGGGCATGAATGGAGACGGAAGCGGAGGCGGAGGCGGAGGCGGATGATGATGATGATGATGATGATGATGATGATGATGATGATGATGATG